GAGAGAGAGAGAGAGAGAGAGAGAGAGAGAGAGAGAGAGAGAGAGAGAGAGAGAGAGAGAGAGAGAGAGAGAGAGAGAGAGAGAGAGAGAGAGAGAGAGAGAGAGAGAGAGAGAGAGAGAGAGAGAGAGAGAGAGAGAGAGAGAGAGCAAAAAAAAAAAAGAAACAAGGAGAGCAGAACTACAAACAAGCCCTCAGCAGCAGGGGGCAGCAGCGAGTCAGAATCATTTTTTCTATTAATTGGAACAATCTTGATGTGTAATGGGCATAGCATGTTAGCATTCACTCAGTGATTCTGTCACATTTGGCAACTCTGCTTTTTTGTCACATAAACAAACCTCTTTCTCAGTTTTGCGTTTTAATGGTGACATGCGACATGACCATCCTGGTGTGCTTTTGATCATGCGTCAAAAGGTGTACCATTCACCAAGCAGAAATTTCTGACATGCCACGTTTGTTATTCAGATTCTTCTCAACTTGTTCACGGGAGATGCCTACTGCATTAGCTCACTCATTAAAAGTTTAACGTCAGTCATCCATCACCATGCGGTGAATAAGGGCGATGGTTTCCTGGGGAAGTGGCTGCGGCAGGACGTCTGGGCCTTGGGTGATCCAAAGTTGAAGCATCATCCTCTAATCTGGCAGCCATTTCAGCATGAATATCCTTGGAGGCTAACCCTTTTTTCTGCAAACATTTGATAATGCCACAGTGCCAAGTTTGATCCGTTTCTACAAAATATCTATTGCACCACTTTTTGGAGAGCTCAATTTTGCAGTGTGGGTTTATATGGAAGAAAAACACACAGCATCGCAAAATGTTTTTGGGTGTAATTGTTTTCGTTGTGGCACAAGTCCCTTTTAGTTAGCCAATAAATTGATCAGGCCATGCATTTTAATGTGCATCTATCTATCTATCTATCTATCTATCTATCTATCTATCTATCTATCTATCTATCTATCTATCTATCTATCTATCTGTCTGTCTATCTGTCTATCAAGCTATATATCTATCTAGCCAGCTATCTAGCTAGCAAGCTATCTGTTTCACAACATTTGAAAAGCTGTAATTTTCTTTCAACGAATCTTTGAGTTGAAAACCAAATGTATTAAGAAAAGGGATTTGCTCCAAGAAACAACCTTGGTGCCTGATGTGATCGAGATCATCCCCTGCCCTTTTCAGCCGCTGTTGTATTCCATGGTTGGTTACCCTCAAGGCCTCCAAGTGCAAATATGCTGTGCGGGGTTTGCAAGGAAAGCCAATGTGGCTGACATTCAAAATCATTTGGCCCTCCTCTTCTGCTCACAATCAGCATCTGTCCTATTTAAAAAAAAACACACACACACATTCTACGCCCGTTTAACAAATTATTCAAAAGTCCCATTTCCTGGGACAATTATTTCTTGTCCACTCATGATCATGGAAATATAGTGTACAGTATTATTTTGTGGGTTTTGTTTCCTGTCTTTATTTAAATAATTTCAACGATGTTGCAAATATGCATAGCTGGCATATACAAACTGTGTGAGTGTTGTAGAGGGATTTCCGAATTGACCATTAAAATGGATCATAAAGTAAAATTTTATATTAGGGCAGCCATCAGGAAATGACAAATTCAGTCCCTGTTGATTCCTTGTATTGCTTCTGGGACCTGACATAACAAAATAAGTGAGAATAAATGGGAGGGTATACAACACCGGTGTTCAACTCCGGTCCTGGAGGGCCGCTGTCCTGCATGTTTTCCAAGTCTCCCTGTTGCAACACACCTCATTCAAATGATCAGATCATCAGCAAGCTCTGTGGAAGCCTGATATTGAACCTGCTCATTTGAATCAGGTGTGTTGCATCAGGGAAACTTGGAAAACATGCAGAACAACGGCCCTCCAGGACCTGAGTTTGACACCCCTGGTATACAGCGATGCAAAAATATCAAATACTTTTACACTGTTGAACATAAAAGGCTTATAGTCCATAAAAACAAATAAACAAACAAACAAACAAACACCGTATTCACATCCCTTTGAAGCTCCTACACTTTGAAACTTTCCTTTTTGGAAGGGACAGCAATTCACGCTGATGTCAGCAGAGGATGTAGCTGGACAGATGAAGGACAATACAAAATAAAAGACTAAAAAACATCCAATATTGGTACTCATATAGTTGTCCAAAGACATGGATCATTTTCAACGTTATTTGGATTAGCTAGCTGGGAAACATAATGTGATTTATGTGCAACTGTCCTGAGAGGTAAAATCTAGATCTGGATTTCAAACAAGCATGCAAAACACCAGTATTATGTTTCATTCATCCATCACAAAATAATTCCAATAGGGGTAACAGTCATTCTATTTTGGTACATAATGTGGGCGAGAGGAATCTCAATGTATGCCTTATATTTGCAGTTGACACCCAAGCTGGAAGCGACACCAAACTGACTGTGGAGGATCTCTTTAAGCCGGAATTCAAGGTTCATGAACCCAAGGCTAATTGGATCAATGGTGAGTCATGCAGTTGTCATGCTCGGAATTGCTTATTAGTCTTAATCAGCTACACTGTATTTCTTTACAACATTCTTCATCATGACAAGGGCTGGAATCGATTATTTTTCATGTCAGATATTTTATGGTCCATATCAGCTAAGATAAGTTAATAAAACCTTTATTTGTCTCACAATGGAGAAATTCGCAATTTACAGCAGCAAAATTTGGAGGGAAGAAAGTCGAAAAATATGAAGTATTTGCATGCACAAATTAAAAAAAAAAAGAACTCTACACAGTACAGAATGCAAGATAAAATATAAAATACAAGATATAAGCATATATGCAACTGCATATATATACTGCATAAGGTGGCTGTGCGATTTAAAATGGGTGATATCCTCTTAGATGTGTTCTGACTATGTCTCATGTTTATGTAAGAAAGGACTACCGGTACATTTCTGTGCTTTGTTTCCACACATGACACAAATTCTGCTGTTTGGATTTATTTTCCTGTTCCTAATTTCCATGGGATTGATTCCATGTTTGCTAGAAGGGGGTCGTATATGTTGAGCCTGGATGGTTTTAGCTTGAAATGACCCATATGAAGTGAATCTGATTATGCTTTACCTAGCTTGAGGAAGAAGATAATGATGCTTCGAAGGGAGAAAATGGACAGGACTACGGCATTCCTGTGTCTCTTTCAATGCTTCCCTGACTTTCCCCCTGTTGCCCATGAACTGGATAAGTGTAACGCCATGCCTCAGGGCAGGAGAAAGAAGCAAGGCCTTCCATCAATATTTCATTCCCCAGTGACGTTTTTCCACTATCTTCACAACATCATCTTATTCTCTGAGCTGACCCGAGGCTGAGAAAGGGAGAACTGATGCTGTGCGACGAAGCAATCAGTAAAAACAGCTTTGCAGATTGGTTTGTGGATGATGGGACAAAATAACCTCCTGGTCAATGAGGAAAGATAACAGACAGATGGGTGAGAGTAGTTTGATCAAAAGGATTTGGTGCAAGAATGAGATTTTTTTTAAAGACTTTGTGGGATTTAGCTGGAAGTCAGAATCAGATTATTATGATCATATTTGCACTAGTGTGTTGTACGACATATTTTTGCAGGCCATACTTGAAATTGAATTGGTTAAGTGACTGTATACATGTACCAAACTTAATTTCACCTATTTTGGTTCAGGAGACGCTTGGAGTTGGAAAGACTCAAATCAATGAGACTTTGAAAAACCAGGAAGTGATTCTTTCTCAGTCCAATTCTGGCAATTTCCCTGCTTAGAGTGAATTGCTTGCGGTTCGACGGACAGTCGAGTCAATGAGCATTTCCTAGAATGGTTTGACTGTTATCGTGGTAAAAACCTTCCGCAAACTGGACCGCTGATAAGAGAAAAGGCGAGCTCCATAGCGCTAACTATGGGCATCGAGGACTTCGAAGCGTTCCGTGGCTGGCTTCAAAAGTTGGTTGCACGACATCAGCTGAGCTGAGTCTTGGGCGGTGATCGAGGGGTGGTCAAGTTAGCGACAGTAAGTGAGCGGAAAGAAAAGCTACCAAGGTCTGATACTAGCCTCATTTTGTGGCAAATAGTCATAATTTTTTTATACGATATTTTGTTCATATACCTGTACTGTATACTGCAGTTTTTGTGTTATAAACAGTTTTTGGGCAATTTATTGTTGCACTTTGTTACTTCTTTTGTCACACATGTATGTTGTTAACATACTTGGATGTTCATACAGGACATATACCGTAGTTGTTTCCCACAGAAATTCTGTTGTAAGGAAAGATTGGACACTGCAAATATGATTCCTTATAAGAAAATACTTACTGTATCGCTCTACTTCTACTGGTCAGATCACAACTCATCTGCAGCAATAAACTGGCTAAAATGGGTGATCAACAACACTGTTCTCATTGAAAAAGTATGTTAATAATTTAATGCTTTTATTCTGTTGATGTTTGATAACTACTGTCAACAAATGCAGTTTTTTTTATATGTACTGTATCTTGTGCTGACCCGTGTGTCAAATTTTAAAAGTCAATGTGGCCCCCGAGCCGAAAAGTTTGCGCACCCCTGATTTAGAGTGTTCAATCAGCCTGTCATGTATGTTTTTTGGAATGTGGGAGGAAACTGGAGTACCCGGAGAAAACCCACGAAGGCACAGGGAGAACATGCAAACTCTACACAGGAAGGCTGGAGCTGGAATCGAACTCGGTACCTCTGCACCGTGAGGCCGACACACTAACCACTCGTCCTCCGGGCCGCTCGTGTTAATGCACACTGCACCATAATCATCCTATCAGTCTCTCCGTCACAAAAAAGTATTAAAATAAAATAAAGCAAGTCACCCTTAAGCAATGCTGGCCTGTGACCTGCATCACTCAGCAGTCTGCAATTGCAGCTTGCGATCAGAGCAGTTACAACAGTTTTTATTATTATTAATATAATCATTCAGAGTTAATTTCATGTACGATTCACCGATGGCACTCTCAAAGAATGGCGATCTGGAGAGCCGAGAGAAGCATTTTCAAGCAGTACACGCGAGCTACGATAGTTAACACGCCTCAAAAGTGCTTTCCATGCCTCCGCGTTAGGCCTCGACAAAGGTAGGCAGTGATTTTCACACTCTTGTGTCTACTTTATTTTTCTATTTCGTTCACCTTAGGGGCCGTTGCTCATCATGGCATGCGTGTCGATCGCGGGAGGTTGGTTCATTGAAAAGTAGATCTTAGGTCAAAAAATGTTGGGCACCCATGAGCTACACAGTTTTGATTTATTTTAGTAGCTACACAGTTGTACTCATTTCTAACACCCTGTTATATTCTGATACTATACTAGTATGTATATTGGAACCATAAGGCACAATTTTTAGTACATGCTCAGTTGTTACATATTTGGAAGACTCAAGGTGAACAGGCACGGCGCCAGGATTTTTTCTCTCCTGGGGCTAAAGGGGGCTTGACCGATATGTGGCGGTGCTGAGTAAAAGAAACAAAAAGGTTTTCCAAGACTTCACTTACTTGAAATGTTCTCTTATTTTTTTTAAATATAAGGATAATGCACAGTAGTCGTGTGCGGTAGAGATGTGCATTCAGCATAAAGTATGAATTTGCCTGAAGGGAGAGATTTGGACCCTACCATCCAATCCTGGTAATTGAATATGTCTTTGTATCTCCTTCGGTGTGCACTGCTCAGTGTGACAGAAATGCCCAAATTGTACGCCTGTCTTCCCCTGGAAATGCTTGTTGCACACTATTTGAAGCCTTCGCACTTATGAGCTACTCTGGTGCTCCTTCGGGACTTGGACCGGGCTCATTTTTTCAATCATTCTCTTGTTCCTTACCCTTAGATTTAGGGGGGGAAATGTGTTTTGTTTTGTTTTGTTTTTTTAAATTACAAAGCAATACATTGTTGAGACGGACTGCAAGCTAATTAACTCAAACCTAAGGCGTTCAGAAATTCCTTGTGATGCCCCTTCACGACTGTGAGAGTGGGTGTGTTCGGAAAAGTTGGGTGTGCTGCGCTCCCATTAATTTGTGAACACTGCTGGCATTGGCACACCGTGTACTTTTTTAGAAATATCCATCCATCCATTCATCCATTTTCTGATCCGCTTATCCTCACAAAGATCGTGGAGTGTGCTGGAGATTTTCCCAGCTGTCTTCGGGCAGTATGCGGGGTACACCCTGAACTGGTTGCCAGCCAATCGCACGGCACACATAGCCGAACAACTATCTGTGCTCACACACATTCAATCTGGCACGCATGTTTCTGAAATGTGGGAGGAAACCGGAGTACCAGGAGAAAACCCACGAAGGCACGGGGAGAACATGGAAACTTCACACAGGAAGGAATTGAACCCTGCACCTCCACATTGTGAGGCCAACGCGGCAACCAGTCAACAACTGGGCCGCCTTTTAGAAACACGGTTTACATACACACACACACACACACACACACACACACACACACACACCCACACACACACACACACACAGACATATATATATATACACACTTGTGATATATATATATACTTGTGATATATATCTTTGAAGCTGTTTATACTGCAAAGATAGAAGTTTGTTTAGGAAGACGATCAATTCAAACAACGTGCCTTCCGCAGCCTTTCTGCCTAACGATGACAGCTATTTTGATGTGATTATCCTGTCATTAACTGTTTGTTACATTAATTAAACGGATTGTACGATACCGCACGGACAGCAATGGTATCACGAGAAGGGGGAAGCAGGTGGGTGAGAACTGTGGTGTCAAATCAAGAACATAGTTACTTTGGTGTTTTGCCATGACAACAAAAACGGCTTTGACTTACCTGCAGTTGCTCATATCTTTTTTACATGTCACACATTTGATGAGAACAGAGGACTGTCCGTCGATGACAATCGATTACTGATTGGTTCTTACCGAGTGAAGCAGTGCATGAGACAAAAGTATAATACAGACAATACATAAAAGCAAAGCCACAGCAAAGAAAATGGCACTATCTAGTACATTCAGGTCATCAAAATGTTGCTTTTTACTTAGATTTGTCCCTGCTTCATTATGAGTGTGATGGGCATTCTTTTGGATAAGTGTGAATTTTATTTCTTGAAACCCTGACTGTGGATGGTGTAATAGAGAATGATGCATGCACACAAGCATGTTACGAACACTGAGGTGTTGTGTCACCCACTGAAAAATTTCTGGCTTAGCCCCTGCACGAGACACCTATTTAATCAATCCCAGTTTTCCACATCTCACACTGGAGCAGTAATACACTGAGTTCCTTTTTTTTTTCTTTCATCAAATCAAATTACCTTGTTTTCATCAAAAGGATTAATCAATGGAAACAAGGTTTGTTTTTGCAAAGCATTCTGTGAGACTTCTGGTCTTGCAGCGTCATTCTTCTGGGTTAATTGGGAATTGCAAGCTCTGGTAGCTCCCATTAATTGCTGAGCTCACCAGTCTGTGAGATAAATTGCAGTTATTTGCTTGACCATGTCT